GTCGGGTTCGTGGCCAGGTACCGTATCGAATGAAGGTTCGTATTGCTGAGTTTACTATGTCAGAAAAGATGCACGTAGACGGTACTAGTGAAGATCGGACGTACTTGGGTAGCATGATAAGCATTATGTGGGGCGTTCTGAAAGCTAGAATTGGTCTTTGAAGGAGATTGGCCGACGCCGAGGGGATGCGCCGTCGAAGCAGCTGCCGGAGTAGACGCCCAGGGCTGGCCCCGAATCCTCGCCTTCTGAGCATTGGCCGACATCTTCAACTCTTTCTCCGCCTCCTTCTCCACCTCCTTCTCCGCCTTACTTCTCGGCTTGTACCGATAGTCCGGGTGCATGACTTCGTGTTCCATTTTCTTGAGAGCAGCGCGCCGTTCAAACTCGGCCCTGACCGCGGGGTCCTCGTTACGCCAGAGTGTGCCAATGATCCGTGAGATTTCTGCTTGTGTTCTGAAGGTGCCAGGAGGTGAAGGAGGAGGTAGACGAGGGCCCATCTCGGAGCGATACAGAATGAAAGAGTTAGGAGGACGCGGAATTCTGTCCGGTTTCTCCTGGCGTGGCATGATGTACGATGGCAGGAACTGTTACACGAGAGGTCGTGCGGTGAGACAGAAAGAGTTGGAGCGGTTGGAGGAGGTTGTATGAACTTCTACCGTTTGCAGTAGATTCCGGCGCTTATATCCCAGCGCAGAAGGCAAAGCGCGACGGTCAATTGGTGTGCTTTGGCCAACGCCAAAGCAGCCAGGCCAGCCATGAACGCCACTTGGCTCTGTGAGGCCCTCGGCTTCTAATCGACGTCAAAGCAGCGAAGAAAAAGTTCTTTGAAGGAAACTGCGCTTCTGCTTGAAGAGATTCCCGCTGATCAGCAAGCGCTCAGGCTATGAAGGCCACTTGTGACGGTTCGGGCCAACTTTGAGCTGTCATAAATCCATGGTACTAAGTTTTCAATTCCACGAGAGTGTGCTCCCAGGGTATCACATGTGGATATATCAGTGAGCCCAGAATGCGATTTTCGAAGCGGAACAGAGAGTGTTGCGAGTCGCCGAAGTAAGTGTATGTATGCGGGAGGCGATGTTCAACATTGACTGGCATCCTACTCCTAGATTTCTACGTCAAAAACACTCGTTAACGATTTAGCTAGGGATAGGATGACTTACGATGCCCGCGCTAGCAGAAGCGTTGGGTATGTGCACTGGCACTCTGAAGTGGTCGCTTTCATGTTCGGCCAGTCGGTAGGTTGGAATCGATCGTGGGAATCAAGATAAGATAATCTGAGATAACCCCATATTTCCTCCTCGACGTCTACTTGAGTACAAAAAACGGCTATACTTAGAGTCTGCCAAACCCGACCGCGACGGAGAGCATGTGGTAACGACTTCAACGTAGATTCTATCTGCAGTGCTCGTTTATCGTCTCTCATCGCATAAATGGATACAACTATACAGCGACTCCGTCCGAAGTCATGACCGACCCGTGTTGGAGACAACCCAAGTCCAATCCACAGTATTACTAGCAGTACCATAACCCAAGCCCCCCGTCAGGCTTCAATGTACTCGACTTCTTCAATAAATTAAAAGAGACAACGACAAGAAAGTACAACGCCCCAGAGAGCCAGCCTCGGTAACTTATCAGGGCAACATCCACTCATGACGTCCTCGCCTGCTTCTTCGCCGTCCCAATCGTCGTATTATTCACCTGCGAAAAACGAACGATGAGTATACTCAACAAGGTCACGAATCGGTGAGAGAGTGTTCATACCTTCGTGGCGAACCGCAGGGACGTGAGCGACTCGTTGAGATGTGCCGCGAGGGGAGAGAGGTTCAAGAACATCTACACCGCGCAAGGTCAGGCTCGTGACACATTCCAAGAAGGAGAACGGGAGGGAAGGGACATACCAGCGTCTTCGAATTTCCACTAAGCGAGTTTTGCAGCAAATACGTCAACTACCCCCAAATGCATTCAGCCCTCTTCCAACTAAAAAAGAAAAGACCCCTACGCACCTTCGAATTCCTATATGGTATATGCTTCCCCTCCGCCCCCACCCCGCCCGCCCCCCTCTCCCCCAACGCAGCAATAACATCCCCCAGCGCACTCAAGCTCTTATTAATACTCTGCGTCTCCCTCAACCGCTCCTTATCCGCCCCGCCCGCCGCAAAGCTCACATTAAGCCTCTCGCTCCCCGCCAGGTCCACCAAATTCAGACTCCCCTCGCATGCCCCTCCTCCCCCCTCCCCGGCTCCGGTGCTGACGCCCCGGATGCGGAGCGTGAAGACGGAGTGCGAGCGGGAGGAACGCTCGTTCATGAGCGTGGCGGCGACGCTGCGGCGTTTCTGCGCGAGGGCGAGGAGGGTGCGGACTTGGGCGGCAGAGTGTAGGGGGACGACGGTGACGTCGGTGACGCGCGTCGCGCCGGTGCGGGCGTCGTGCTTGACTTCGTGCTTCTTCTTGTCAAAGTCGTGTGCGCCGAGGAGGTCGTTGATGGTTTCGTTGTACTGTTTGGGTCCGTGTTAGTCGGGGAAGGGAAGGGAAGGGAAGGAGGAGGGGGAAGGAAGGGACGTACGATCTCGAGGAACTGCCCCTCCATGGTGTACTCCCACCCTTTGCTCTTCATCTGCTCGGCCACGCGGAAGACTTGATCGACGGCGCGGGGGATCATGCCCGAGTTTTCTTCGGTCTATGGAGGTGTCAGTAGAGGCGTACAAAGTAGATAGAGTCCACGTACTGGACCGCCCTCCATCGTATACGACTTGCCAGAGCCCGTCTGGCCATAGGCGAAGATACACACATTGTATCCGTCGGTGCAGCTCTGAGCAAGCTGCGAGATCTCGTCGAAGACTTCTGCCTGCGTAGCGCTGGGCTCGAAGACCTGAAATCATGTTAGCACAGGTCGACTACACATAAAAGATAAAGGATAGACGAGGAAGAACTTCAACTACGGTCTGTCGACCGATGCACATGGAAGCAGAAACGATCACAGAATTTCGCACACACCTTGTCAAATCCGAAGTTGTACACCTCCTTGCGTTCCTGGCCCGTCGCACTCTCGCTCGACGAAGCCAAAACAATCTCCTTGTGATCCCGCTTGTCGGGGAACGTCATGTCCGCCTCTTCTTCAGCATCTGAAGGCAACACCGGACGTACACGGCAGAAAACGCGAATGTTGCCCTTGAGTTCCTGCACCATGTTATGCAGCTGCCTCCGCACGATCTCGCCCTCCACCACCTCCTTCTTCATCTCCTCCACGTCCCGTTCCGCACCCTCCAATTTCGCCGTCAGCTCCGCAACCAAACGCGTCTGCGCCTCCACCTGCGCCTGCAGAAGCTGATTCTGCGTTGTCAACGTAAGGTGCGCCGTCGACTGCATCGCCAACGTCGCCTTGAGCGCCGAAACCGCGTCCCTCTCCCGCTCCAAATCCCCCCGACACAACCTCAAATCCTCACCCACCTCCCTAGCCTCCCTCGCCCGCTGCTTCACATCCATCTCCAGGTCCATCACCTCCCTCGCATGTCTCTTCTTCAGCCCCTCGATCTCGTCCGACGCGTGCACCAGCTCGCGCCGCTGGTTCAGATCGTGGTTCCGCGCAGCTGCGAGCTCGCGGGAGATGACGCTGTGGTTCTCCTGCAGCTCCGCGACTTTGGCGCGCTCGGCTTCCATGTCCTGGGCGAGGCGGGCGGCATCGGCGGCACGGGCGGATTCGATGGAGGTGAGCTGGGTTTGCAGCTCGGTGAACCGCTTGTCATCGGAGGAGCGGCCGGAAACGGTGCGGGAGCGGGGAGGCGGGGGTTGTGGCCGGCTTGTGGGAGGGGCACTTGTGCCTCGAGTGGATTTGGTGAGATTGGGGGCGCGGGGTTGGGTAAGTTTTGGGGGAAGTTGGGAGGGGCCGGGTTTGGGGCCGGACCTCATGAGAGCCGCGCCGGGCCTTGCGAGGTTTGGGGCTGTTCTGGAGGTTTGTAGTGTCCTGTTCTGATTGGGTCGGCTTGCACCAACCGCACCAATGGCGGGCAGTTTGCGTGGCTGGTCGAGAGCCTCGTCGTCATCGTCGTCATCGTTAGCCTTGCGTTTCCGAGTCTGCATGGAGGGGCCAGGTTGTGTTGGGGAGGAGTGCAACCTTGGCAGCCGAGACGCCATGACCATGTGGTGGCTTGAGCCAACTTTTGAAAGCAAGAACATCAACAGTCGCGTGGGTCACGTGGGGGCGTTCAGTCACGTCACATCGGCGGTCGACCAATCTTCTCTCGTTCCTGTCGGTCTCCAACGGTCGTGTTAAATCCTTGTCCCAGCGTCACAAAACTTGTATACATGGAGGCGCGAGCACGTATCAAAAAACTAGGTCGCCCCGGATGCAAAGCTTCTCCTCCACGAGGAGGACATCGATCGTCTCATTCTCGCACACGGACATAAGCCCGCGCAGGTTTCCTCGCGACGAGAGAAAAAAGATGGACAGCAGGCGAACTGCAATGGCTCTATGAACGCCGAGAGATGCTCCTACTAGCCCAAGTTCCGATCGGATGCAACTATGAGTGCAGTAGGTCCGATCATACCGGACAGCAACGCGGTGAGTCCTACTTATCTACGACACCGCGATCTTCTCCACTCGGGAAGACTCAGGATCCCTAGTTACCTACTTAAATGAGAGCTAGGCATGTTAAGTAGACACTGTGAGGAGTCTGCGTCCACTCATGATGATATCGTACAGAAAGGATAATCGAGTAGTATCGTAATAGGGCGGAATCAACCAAGAAAATCAATGACTGAAAGACGGCGAAGTGACTCCAGCTGTTGGATGAATGTTTGTGATAAAACCATGACGGACAGGGGAGTAGAGTGTATGACAGCCTCGCCCCAGGTAGACTGTGGGCAAGAATCAGCAATGGCGCCGACGCCGCCGAGTTACTGAACTCTTGTACTAGACTTGTACACAGTATAATATTTGTATGTAGCCTGCGGGATAAAGCGCAAAGAAAAAAAAGTTGTTTCATTGACATGATAATGGAAAGTACACTGAAGGGGAATCGAACCCCTGCCGCTTGCTGGATACCTGGAGTTTTTATTATGGAAGGCAAGCATGATAACCACTTCACCATCAGTGTTGATGAGAGCCATCGAGATTGCAAGATCATCCTAATAGTATACTGCAGTATGTACATAGGCCAGGGTAATAGGTATGCAATTTAGGAGCGACGGAGACAGGTCATCAGTACGCAGAGGCTATAATTTCGAGGTAAAAGAAGTAAGAGCACGGACCCTCTTCCATCCACAGCAAAAGTACATACACTGAAGGGGAATCGAACCCCTGCCGCTTGCTGGATATCTAGCGACATCTAGATGGAAGGCAAGCATGATAACCACTTCACCATCAGTGTTGATGACACCGACGGACATGGAAATCCTCGTCATGATGAACGAAAGCCGGAAACGAACGAACGGAAAGTATCAGAGTGCGAGAAGACACGCGAAAAGGGAAGAGGATTGGTTCAACGACGAGACTTCAATTCCCCATCCCAATCCTCGGATCCTACGCCACTCGCGATAACGAACCAAGCCTTGGGATCGTATTTCGCTTTGATTCAACGTAGTCCCAGATCTGGACAGCTCCAGCGTAAGTCATGCTGCATGTTCGACATGGGAACAGCGCCTGCGTATAGTCCAAGTATAGCCCGTCCAGCTGATTGTCATGAGCGATTGATACTTGTCCCCTCCATGGCCATAGGAGGAAGGCTGATCGAATTGGGCGCCACACACCTACTGTTGTGTGGTTTAGAGCGCAGGGCGATTAGCGGCAAGGCAAACCTGTCCCGTACGTTGCGGACCTCAAAGTAGAGCCCAGATGGACGACTTTCTGCGCATACAATCGTACCCTGCACCAAGCGATATCGTGCCTGAAGCATTGTCAATCTGAGTGATCCGCCTGTATCTCCTGGAACGGCGAATGAAGAAGGATCAGTAATTTCGACATTCGATTTCATTGCAGCGCGTCGTGATCTGACCTCGATGCAATGTCCGCAATTTGGAAACAGTACCTTGCGAGAGTTGGAATCTCGGAGTCGACGTGGCAGAAAACTCAGGATTCAGAGGCTCTAATTTATTTGGAACCTAGAACATCTCGATTTAGGGAAAGAGCTTTTAGTACGAGATTTTCCATATTAACCCACAAAGGTTTGGTATTGACTTCGGAGAATATGAAAGGGTTGACGTTTGGTGGCTATGCTCAAGGTATCTCAGATTATCTTATCTTTATTCCCACGATCACATCCAGCCTGGCGACCACCAACTTGAACTTGGTGACCTGCTGGGGCCCGGTGCAAATGCTCGATGATTCTGCTACTGCACGCGTCGTAAGTTCTCTTATCCTCAGATGTGGTAGATTGAATGAGTCTTTTTGACGCAGAAATTCAGGAGCAGGATGCCAGTAACTGAACTCTGGCACAGGACATACATAACTTTGATGACAACGTATGCATGACGAGCTCGAGGTTAGCTCGAACCGTTGCAAGTGGCCTTCTCGGCACTTGATTACCCATGGACAGAGATGTCTCAAAGCAGGGGCGAGTAATTCTGCACTTCTTTGCTGCTTTGACGTCGATTAAAATGTCTCTTACAGGACCAAGTGTCGTTCAGTGCTGGCCTCTCTGCTTTGACGTTGGCCAAAGCACGCAGGTTGACCGTCGCGCTTTGCCTCATACGATGGGATATAAGCGACGGTATCTACTGCAAATTGTCGAACCTCATAACCTCGCTCCAACTCTTTTTGCACCACCGCACCATCTCTCGAGCAGTAGTTTCTACCATCGTGCAACATGCCGCGCAAGGAGAAATTGGACAGAATTCCGCGCCCGCCTAATCCTTTCATTCTCTATCGCTCCGAGATGGGCCCACGTCTACCTCCTCCTTCACCTCCTGGGACCCGCAGAACACAAGCGGAAAACTCACAGATCATCGGTACACTCTGGCGTAACGAGCACCCCGCGGTGAAAGCCGAGTTCCAACGGCGCGCTGCTCTCAAGAAAATGGAGCACGAAGCCATGCACCCAGACTACCGGTACAAGCCGAGAAGTAAGGCGGAGAAGGAGGTGGAGAAAGAGGCGGCGAAAGAGTTGAAGGCGTTGGCCAAGGCCCAGAAGGCGAAGATTCGAGACCAGCCCCGGGCGTCTACGTCAGCGGCTGGTTCGACGGCGCATCCCCTCGGCGTCGGCCAATCTCTTTCAACGTCCACTGCTAGCTGTCAGAACGCGCCCCACAATGCTTATTATGCTGCCCAAGTACGTCTGATCTTCGCTGTACCGTCTACGCGCATCTTTTCTGACATGGTAAACTCAGCAATACAATGCTTCATTCGATGCGGTACATGGCCACCAACCCGACGCTTGGCATCAGCAGAGCTATTCCGACTTCGAATACACTCTCGACGACGTATCCGGGACCACTGCTAGCAGCAACGATTTCTACCAGCAGCAAGCGTTACTTGGTGGACCCAGTATGCCGCGACCTTGGGACTTGTACTACGATCATTCGGTCGATTTCGCAGCTTATCAGGCAGCATTTGATGATAGACAGGCTGTCAATGGTGGATGTGGGACTTGGGACATGTTTTAGAAACGCCCCATCGCACACTCAACGGACTCTGACACAGAATTTCTCGGTCCTTACTGGATATGGTACAACTATAGCCTTCTCTTTTTATTCATGTCGTACAAATCAAATGGGGTCAAGATGAAAACCTGGGTGGCTTATTGTGACTGGTTTTTGTTACCGTTGTACGCTCAAACACAATCATGTCATTGACAATAAAGATACCAGAGCATCAGAATGATGTGAGCTAAAAATATTCGACGGCGGTTACATATAAGTAGAGGAAGAGGGACTGATCTACCGTCACTAGTAGTAAATCATGCTATCCCCATCCCTTGACAGAGGACGAAGTCCCCAGATCTAAACCTTCCGAGGGATAACAAGAATGGTCGTACGGTAGCTTGTGTCACTCGCGCTGACAAAGACCTCAGAAACGTCGGTGGTATTGACCATACTCGTCCCCAGGCTACGTAGCTTGCCAGAATTCATCGTCCAGCTTTCCCGGCTGGCTATCTTTCCAAGCCGGTTCCAATCGAGTATCGAGCTCGAATGTGTTTGTGAGTTTTTATGCTACCGTCAGCCATGGTCCGTCGTGGAATCCTTCCTGATGTCATCCCCAATAAGCCCACGCTCTCGGCGACACTCTTCTTCCTCATCTTCGCCGCGCTTCTGAATCCCCCAGACCCCGGCCGCCTGTTGCAGAGGCTCCAGCTCAGCTTCGCCCTTGCGCGTGTCCATGATTGACTCATCAACGCCTCGGCACTCCATCATCTTCGTCACCATCATCCTCCAGTACGCCTAGATTGACGGAAAACTGCATCCCCAGGTCAAGCTCGTAAAACACGATGCATACCTTCCTTTTGACGTCTACGCACATTACTATAATTGAATCGTCGTTGGCTCTTTCCCCGACTCGCGCAAGCTCTACGTCGATGTCCTCGGCGTCGAGCTGCCTGTAGACTGCGCCTATCTCCGGAAGAACGGGGCACAGCAATTTGTACGGTCCCTTGTCGATCTCCGAACACGCAAACATCGAAACCTGCCGCATGCGTTCGCACTGGTCCTATGTACCCAGTGCGGGAGGCGAGCGCTTGACACCGAGTGCAGCTTATGACCAGGTGGTAGAGCACGCCGAGGACGGCTTGACCTCGCATCCAGAGGAGGAATACTCGGAGTTGACAAGGGTGAGGATGATAGAGCGAGAAAAGACAGCGTGTCCGGCGAGAGATGGTTAGGTAACAAACACCTCAAGATAACTGGTGTCCAACAGGTTGGGCACATGGTTTGGCAGACTAGGAAGGATTTTGTGCGGGGCCGAGGTATACTATTGACGGCCTTGGGACTCGAAGGCAGCAGAATCAATGAGATGGTTGGCGATAGAGCGTCTATGCTGGCAGCAGCGAAGCGAAGGCGGACTTGCTGCCTGAGGGGACCACAGTGGGCAATGGTGAGACATCGGCAACGGCAACATTGAGGCTGGAAATACCGGCACTACGAGGGTGACAATCACGCCTTCTTCTGACGGTGGCAGGCGAATATGTGCTCTAATCCCTCTGGCAAGCAGGACATCAGTCAGAGACAGCTGCGGGCTGGAGAGGCTATGGTGCATACCTTGCATTTCTACCTCAATAGCATCGACATCTACCCAGGCTGCCAGCTGCCTAATCCTTGGTGTCGGTTTGGTGTCGGTGGTTCTCGCGGCCTTGAGTCATAGGCGAACTTGGGTGACCCGTGGTGGCTTATATTGACGAGCAGCAGGACGTTAACGAAATCTGATGTTGAGAGGAAAGAGGACCCGAGAGAGATTCGTTCAGACTTTCACGAGCAGCAACGGGTGCCGGTGAACGTTGATTTCAGGGAAATTTCGAAGTGTAGGGATCATGTGACTCGACCATCTCAGCACTCCTCCTCATCTTGACATTGACCACGATCCTGGCCTACAGCTGTGTACCAACACCGCTATACGCCTCTCATGCGCACCAAGGGCCTAGCGAATCCTGTGACACGCTGTACTCTGAAACTACAACTTATCCCTGCTCCACTTTTCTGCTGTACGCTCGATAAATTGGGGACAAGTACTAGTGGAGGTGAGCTGCATTTCTATACATTATGGAACTGAATGGAACAGCTTCAGAGCTTGTATTCTTGCAGTTGGAATATTTCGTTTACAACGCCTGATAATTTCAGCTCCCTTCCCAACCAAACGGCTCACAAACTCGAACATTTACGTCAAGCCATCTCTTAGCTGCAATAGTTCAAGGCCGCTAGAACTTAGAAGGCCGACTGATATATAAGGTGCGATCTGATACGGTTCGTCTCTGTCGATCACCGTGATAACTCTGTTGTTAGCGACCCTGCTCAGATACGGTGCGAAGAACCCAATTGTGCTGATGTTCTTGTTCTGGTCGATGCAATCTCCGCACCTGCAAAAGCTTCCGTTACCGCAAGCGACATTGTGTTTTCCGGGATCTACTTGTGGATGAGCTGTTCGAAGATGTCGAACGCGATGGTTACTATGATT